TAAAGGTACCTACTTGAAAGTGCTCTGAGGATGAAATGAAAAACTGGAGGGGTCCTTAGGATAGTGCCTGGTACATAGCAAGTAGTCCACAAACGTAGTTACCATTGTTATTCTTGCTGCTGTTGTCATTATTGTTTTTATCACCACCAACATCGTTATTCTTAGAGATGAATGTTGGTTCCATGAGTAGATTGCAAGTGCCTAGGCAAAAGCCCAAGCCAAAAACTTCATACCATGTACAAAGGAAGCACCTTTATCTATGGAGCTCCTGCATCAAGAGATGGGCTTCGTTCCATTTTTTTTATTGTACTTTACAAACACCTTAAGACAGTTATGTTTCCTTGATTCATTCTGGGTTTGAATTCTGTTTGACACTTTGTAGGCGTGTGACCTCCTCTCTTTATCTCCCTGTACCTCTGTTTTCTCCTCTGTACAATGCAGATGATGATCGTACCTAATGCAGTGGGTGGTTATGAAGGTTAAAAGTGTTAACATGTATCAATCAGAACAGTGCCAGGCACATAGTAAGCACTGCTTAAATGCTTGGTAGTAAGACTTTATAGATGAGGAAGGACACGTGACCATCCGGAAGTGAAGCCATCGTTCTCCTTAGAGATGAGGGAAGCTTACAACAAAGCTGGTCCAACTTGCTCATTTCACATGTGGGAAATAGGAAGCCTAGGAACAATAGACTCCTCTAAGTCACCCAGGGTTAGGGGTCGAACCTGTACCTGAAGCTGAGTGTCTCGACTCCTAGTTCAGTGCTCACATGGCTTCACGGTGGAAATAACACCGTACTTTGAGAGTGAGGATATGGAAACTACATTCTGTGGATGAATTTAATTATGTTTTTTCTGGCATTTGGGACTTTCTCGAGTTCTCTACCATTACATCTGTATAGAAAGTGCTCAATTCTTTTCTTCACAGTGGACTTATTATATGAGCTTACTCATTAGAGCTGTGTCAGACCACCCTTCTTTTTGGTTTCCAGAAAGGACACTAAAGGGAGGCACACCTAGCAAAGAATTTGATGTTATTACCATTAAAGCAAAAATATAGCTATATGGTTAAATAATTATTTAAAGAGTAACACTGGGGGCAGACCTTAAAAATAGACTTAAGATAAAATCCATATGGGCTCTAAACTATCTACAAAAGACTTTAAACTAAAACTTTCCTGTGTTGTACATTGGTCTTGGCAGTAATAAGCTAGCTGTGTTAACTGTTCAGTGTAATTAATAACAGTTTTGCATCTAAACTCTATTTAATGTTTCTTAAGAGTTGAGGTGTTAAAGTATCCTTTCAAAAACCCAAGGTGAAGTTTGAACTAATCAATGCTTCTTTCCTACTTAAAATTCTTTCTCTTTATAATTTCTGTAAAAAGCAGAAAGAAACAGGCAATTCCCTGTGTTACCAATAGATGGCAAGTTCAAGGCCAAATAATCAGTGGAATAAAAGATAATTACATAAATGGAAATGCTGGTCCAAATTAAGCAATGGGAATGAAATGGAGTTGTAGAATTCTCTGTTTGACGTGTTGATGTTGTGGGATGAATGGGTGCACGACTGAGCAAAATGGTGTGATTATAGGAAATGCAGTTTACTTGTCCTTTTGACCAAGACTTTGAGCTGACTCTGGATTCTGCTCCTTAGTTTTGTGGGATCAGAACATCGCAAAGCAACTTGGCTTTCACTCGCCTACCTGAATCCGAGTGCCATGTTATTCATTTTACAGCTGATGGACATTGCAGGGAGCTTAATAAATATTAGCCCTCCATTCACCTAACTACTTGGGAAGCCTGAATATATAATCAGAATCATGATTAGTGACCTTCAAGTCAGAGCCAGAAGAGACCGTTTTGATATCTGGTGGCATTGGGATCAGACACCTGATCTCTAGTAGGGATGTGTCCACTAAGCAAACTCAGCATTCAAGTTAGCTGGACAGGCAGTTGGACAAAGCTGAGCAGGTACCTCCTTGATCGTTTTATATGTAATCACTGGGGTTCTCAGTTTTCAGACCGACCTGCTTCTCCTTCCTCAGATATATAAATAGCATTGGTTCTGCAGCAGCATTAAACAGGTAATTATAATTCAGCCGCGACTGAGATGACAGTCTGATTCCTTAATAGAAAAAGCTCATAGGGCCCCCATTTGCAAGTTGATTTTCCATAATTTAATTCTCACAATTACTTTACTACTCGGTGTAACCCATATAAAAACTGGCACCCTGGTGATTCTGTTTCAGCAGGAAGGCACATTCAAAGAAGCACAGTCTGGAAGGAAAAGTCCAGTATCCTTACCAGAATCTTTGGGAGTGCATCCAAAAGGATCATTTTATAAGCCACAATAAAATATATCAGGATTCTCTCTTCCTGATCTTCTGATCTTAACATCTCAGCCCCCTTTCTTTTTAAGTGGATGAATTTCAAGCTCTTTGAGTTCCTTTTTCTTCACTCCTTCTCTCCTTTTCTCAATCTTGTGATTTCCCCCCATCAGCCATATCCCCTGTTCCCTTTCCAAGTGCAAGCTACTTAAAACAGTCTTGGTCTGCAGTTCAGCACTCTGCCCTCTCTCTGATTCTGCACTGCAAAGCCTATGAACCAGCTGGGCCAAAGTCACTGAAAAGCCTATGTGGGCTCAGAGGAGGAGCGCACAGTTCCCTTTAGCTCATGATGGTAGACGTCAAAGCAACATTCTCTACCTAGCAATAGCTGGAGGAAAGATTGGCACATTTAAATTTTAATATATTTTCTTTTTTTCCCCTTTCCAGAATCTTTTTCTAAATTCTGGCATATCTTGAAGGCAATAGTGCTCTGTGTAAGTAGGTCTTCTGGTTCCGTCCTGCACATGCTCCCTGGGGCTCTAAGTATCAGCCCAAGTCAAAGTGGGCCTCAGCAAAGGAAAGAAAACTCTGTATCTGTTTCTTACTGCCTTTCCTGCCCAGCCTCTTCCCCTCTCTCACTGTTTCTCACAGACTCCTCTGGGACTCCTTCCCCAGCCATCAGCTTTCATCTCCCAATGCCTGGCTTGCAGCACAGGCAGAGGAGGGAAGAGGGAGTCTGCCTCTAGGTGCACAAGGGTGGACATAGGCTTCCTGATGACATCTCATGCTTTTTAGCCACACCTTTGAACAGAATGTGCTCCATTCCATGGGTGCTCCTTACTGTACTAAGAGTCTGCAGTTTCATAATGTTGCAATGCTTCCAGAAAATACTTGCCAAGAAAATATATAATTTACAGAAAGACAATGAAAGGGATTTGCGAGGCCTCCCAGATAGTAGAGGGATCTGGAAACCTTCCTAATGGTTTGAGATCACTTCATTCCAGATGTCTCTTGAGGCACATTCCCCCTGAATGGTTTGCTACTGGCAGCTCGTTATGCTTTCCCTGGAATTTCCCCTTACCCTAGCTTTTCTCCCCAGAATGGGCTTTCCATGGTTCTTGCCCAGAGTTAGCTTTTTCAACTCCTTGTTTATATGCATGGCAATAATGGTCTATTCCATATGGGCTAATGTCTCCAACAGAAAGACGCTCCTGGTTCTGTTGATTGATTGCTAATGTGTTTTCAGTGGACATTGCAGGGAGCTTAATAAGTATTAGCTCTGCCATTACTGCCATTGAAGGCATGAGTGCAAATTCATAATGCATTTGAGTGAGGGATTTATACAAACCGAATATGATCAGAGGGGAGCAAGTATCTCATTCCATGCCTTCATCATGTGGTGCTCTAGGCTTTGGAGATGCCTCAGCCAAGATTTTTGTCCTCAAAGAGCACATAGTTTGGTAAAGAGCAAAGATGTGTAGAAGGTTAAATGTTTAAGTGCTAAAGCACTCAAGGACCCGTGGCAAATAAAGGGAGCAGAGAAGGAGGGAGTGATGAATTCTACTTGGAGGGAGCAGAAAAGGCTTCTGTATTTGTCACTACTCTCTGAGTCGCGAGTGACAGAAGCACAACTCAAACTAGCTTAAGCAAAATGGAGAAAATTAGTGCACATAATTTAGCAAGCCCAGAGGTGGTTCTCGCTTTGTGCAAACTAGACCTGGGACCCAAAGAGTGTCATTAGGATCCTTCTTTCTCTGTCTTTCAACTCTGCTTCTCTCTGCATGTTTGACCTTTCTCCAGCATGGATGCATTTCTTCCATGTGGCTTGGGAAAATTGCCACTCAGATGTACATCATCCAGCTTGACCTTAGTGGAAAAAGAGCTTTTCTCTCCCAGTATTCATGTGTCTCTCCCTAAAAGTATTTCTTATTGGTCTTACTTGGGTCATTTAGCAGCCCTTGGACCACTCGCTGTTGCAATGAGATAAGGTAGTATGATTAGCCATACCCACCAGCTCCGTTTACAGTGAGGGTGGGTGGCTTCTCCAAAGGAAAGACTAGGCAGATGGTCACTCTATCTTCATTGATATTTAAGCAGTACTGTCAAAGAGAAATATGTAGATAGATAGATAGATAGATAGATAGATAGATAGATAGATAGATATAGATATAGGTATAGATATAGATACAGATAGCCAAATGAAGCAGTGAGGGAAAACTTACTATTTGCACTGCAGGCAATGGGAGGCATTCTGGGATTTTTAAGCAAGGGATGGAGATAGACTTCGATTTTAGAGTATCACTCTGGGAGCAATGCAGAGGGGGACTTGCTCAGAGCCACGACTCAGAGTCAAGGAGGCTAGTGAGGACACCCCTGCAGCAATCCAGATGGAAATTGGGTGTAACAGTTAAGTGCTATAGAGTGCTAAATATACTAATGTAGAATATTCTACATGTGCAGGTGGGGAGATAAAGGAAGTAATAAGGTAGTAATAAAGGTTGTAGTAGGGAAGCAAAAAGATACGGAAAGTGGTAAGCAGAATCAACAGGACTTGGTCTCTCAAGAAAGTGAAGTGTCTAGGATAGCTGCAGTTTCTGCCTTGAGTAACGTCATTTGCTGAGATGGAGAATACAGAAAGAACAGATGTGAGCCTAGGGGAGGAGGGATGGTCGAGATGATGCCAGTGAGCGCTAAGTTTGAGGGACTGGATATGAACAATTCGCAGTTGGATATGGGAATTTGGAGCTCCGAAGAGAGATCTAGGCTGAAATGGGTAAGTTATCAACGCACAGGTTGTATAGTTGATGAGACTAAAGGGAATCATGTAGTCTAAATGTCTGGAGTGAGAAGAGGGCCCAAGAGTTAGTGGTTTTGCTTTGATAAAGGAAGAAGTCTAGAAAGCAGCAGGCTAGCAGGCAAGGAGCACAGCTCAGACCTCAGCAGTCCAAGCAGGCAGCGAGTGCCTAGGACCCAATGGTGCCCTACCCGAACTTGCCAGACTTTGGCTCATAACTAATTCTATACAGAGGCTGGCTGCACATCTTACCTCTTTTGTTGGGTTAAGAGTGACTTTAGGACCTAACCCCATCACCGTGGAGGGGGATTCGACTAATCAAAGAATCCTGTTACAGCCATGGATGTACAAAGTGTCCTTGTGATGAGGCCAAGCCCGAGTCTTCAGCAGACAGAACGCAGATATGAACATGCTGATGCTGGTGCCTGGTTGCATATATTAACAACTGTTTGCTTTTGAGCTTCAACCCAGTAAAGGGTTTCCTCAAGGAATATATGAATATGGCACAAATGGGAAAGTGTTGCTTTCCCACTGTTGCCAGTTCCCACACCAGCTTGCTTTGGTCCACATGGCTGAAAGCTAAGACACCGCCTTGCCTGCCCCCCAAGATCCTATTAGTTCTGAGTCTCATCAGTTTTGGTTCCTGTATTTGTCCTTTTCTTTTCATTCAGATTGGAGCAGCTTTAAGCTAGGGTGGGCTTAAGTTTACCCATCCCTACCCATACACCCCACTGCAGGGTGAATGTACCATCCTCCTAAGACATTTGGTGATTTTTTTTTCATCCAGAGGTTAGCAAACTATGACTGCAGATTCAATCTGGCCTCCCACCTCTGTTTGTAAATGAAGGTTTGGGGCGCCTGGGTGGCGCAGTCGGTTAAGCGTCCGACTTCAGCCAGGTCACGATCTCGCGGTCCGTGAGTTCGAGCCCCGCGTCAGGCTCTGGGCTGATGGCTCGGAGCCTGGAGGCTGTTTCCAATTCTGTGTCTCCCTCTCTCTCTGCCCCTCCCCCGTTCATGCTCTGTCTCTCTCTGTCCCCAAAATAAATAAGCGTTGAAAAAAAAATGTAAATGAAGGTTTATTAGAACACAGCCACGGTCATTTATTTATATATTGGCTTATGTCATTTTTGCACTGCAATGGTAGCTTTGAGTAGTTGCAACAGAGATTGTATGTTCCACAAAACCTAAAATATTTGCTGTCTGGACCTTTATAGAAAAAGTATCCTGACCCCTGTTAATCCATCCTATACACTGGTGCCAGATTAGTGTTCCTAAAATTCCTTTCACCATGTCACTTTCTTGCTTAGAACCCTACAATATTATATTGTCTGTGGAATGAAATCCAAACTTCTTGGCCTGACATTCAAGGCCCTCAATGGTCTAGTCCTAGCCAATCTTTTGAATCATTAATCTCTATTCCAAAGAACAAGCTCTACACTTCAATTAGATTTCCCTCTTCATTGTCCCTGGAATATGCAGTATATTTCTACCCTTATTCACACAATTCTCTTTGCCTGGAATGTGCTGCCCATTTGTATCTACCTAATTCCCCCCCCCCATTCTAAATGAACTAACTGAAAACCTGCATCTTTCATGGTCATATCTGTTCACAGGGACCACCGATGAGCCTACTGCTTGAACATGTAGAGGTTCACTGCCTGTACCCTCTGGTGATATTTTCTCTATTCAAGGCATAGTTCACTAATCCAATGGTGGGAAACTCTGGAGTGAGGATTTTCTATGTGAACAAAGGCACAGAGGTGGGAAAGCCTAGGTTTGCAAATGACCAGATGTGTAATTAGAACCCTGACTTAGTCCAGTCAAGTTTCTATAACAACATACCATAGACTGGGTGCCTTATACACATTAGGAATTTGTTTCTCATAGCTCTGGAGGCTGGGAAGTCCAAGATCAAGGCACTGGAAAATTCAGTGTCTGGTGGGGGCCTGCTTCCTGGTTCATAGACCATCATCTTTTCACTGTGTCCTCACATGGTACAAGGGGCAAAAGAGCTCTCGGGTTTCTCATGTAAGGGCACTAATCCCATTCGTGAGGGCTCCACTCTCATGACCTAGTTGCCTCCGAAAAGTCCCTACCTCCTAACACCATTACTTTGAAGATTAGGTTCCAACATATGAATTTTGGGGGAGGGCGCAAATGTCCAGTCTCTAATGAATACATAGCACTCAGTTCCCATTTATGGAAGTATTGTGTCATCAGCGTCTTGTGTCCATGATGCACTATCTCTTGGTGCTGGACTTAAATTTGGGCAACTATGTATCTTGATCGCCAGTGGGAATGAATGATAAAGCGCAGTAAACCTGCCCCAGAGGAATCCTAGGATATAGAGATAGTGACTGGTTCGGAAAGTCCTTGTTTTATCACGTGGTACCTCTGAGATACTGGATAAGTGTGCTCTTCTCATTAGGCCTCACTTTCCCCATCTACGGTCACATATTATACATACTTACACACACTCTGGAATGAAGCAGCATCAATAACACAGCACTGATCAGAGTTCTTGGTAAATGGTGAGTTCCTAAAATATCCTCAGGCCTCACTTTGGCAGGAGGGTTATGTCCCTGACTTGGATATCATGTCTCCCAGTGGCTTGAGATGATAAACTAACGTTTCTTAAGAGTCTGTGCATTGCACAGAAGAATTTGGTTATAACACTAATTATTGCTATGTTGACTTGAATAGCTGTGGTGCAGGCACATCCCCAGAAACATAGCAGCTACGGAAAATAAAGGCTTCCGTTAACACAGAGCCCAGCAGCCAGCCTTCCACATTATTGTCCTCTCCAGGAATTGGCTGTCGTATTGTAGAATGCCACTATGTCTGTCTAGCACGTTTCCCCCTGCATATGAGAGTAAAGGGAAATAAGCCAGTGCAGTAAATGTCTCAGCAAACCTTCCCAGTGTGCACTTTGGAAACAAAATGTGGAACAAGTAAGCTATCATTAAAGGCAGGCCTTTTTATTCTTAAATTAGTCACATTTATATGATGTTTGTTGTCTGCATTTGAGAAGTAGGGAGAAGAAAAGTATTATGTGTGCATTCCAGTGGGAAGGTTATGCTCCGAATACAGGAGAATTACATCCCTTTAAAACCAGCCTCTAGGCATTACCTACATGTATACATGTGGCAACAATTATAATAATAAATAGCATTTATTGAGCATTTACTATGTGCCAGGCTATTGTTCCAAGTCCTTTACATGTATCGTCTCATTTCATCCCTGCCACAAGCATAAGGTTTAGGACAAATTATGATCTCCTCTGTATGTGAGAGAAGGCTCGGACCCAGGGAAGTAAATAAAAGAACTTGCCAGAGGTCACACAGGTAGCAGATGGCAGAGCTGGGAGTCCGATCCAGGCAGACCAACTTCAGATTTCATATTTACTGTAACCTCAGTGAGCCCCACCCACATGCAATGCTCCCCCCAAGACTAGTTTCAACAAAGACCGCCCATCAATTTGCATTGTTTGTGATGTCCGATGGGATGATTTGTCCTAGGAAATTGGAAATTATGTTGGATTATTTGTGTATATGATTTCCATAGAAGGAAGCTAACCCTACAGTTCCCCACTGTTACATGCTATCATATTTGCAGTTTATAACATCCTCTGTCTTTTCGGTTGAGACATTTTTATTCTTTGTCTCCAAATTAACACTGCATAGAACATGACTCTGTGAGTGTGTGTGTATGTGTGAGTGTGTAGAAACCGCCTTTTCTTCTGGATTAAATTGCTGCAGCCTGGCTGACTGAGGAGACTCTCCCACTCGCCGAGCCCACAGCAGACATGTTAGGAGAAAGCTGCTGGAGGCGGAGGGGCAGGTGACACCGTGCGTGTGCCCAGCATCTCTGGAAGTGTCTATACAGATGTGTGCTGCTGCTGCTGCTGCTGCTGCTTCCGGCCTTAAAATTCCTGGAGCCAACACCCACCTACTCTTACAGCCTCTCTCTCTCTTTTATTTTCAAGGAAAAAAGAAAGAGGCAGACTGAAATAGAAGGCAAGCGACAAGAGCTTGACGAGCAGATACTTCTGCTGCAGCATTCCAAGGTAAGAGGCTGATCCCACGAACCTGTTCCATTATTAGACATGCAGATCACACTCCAGAGAGCCGGGCAGAGGCTGCCCTGGCGTGAAGGCTTTGCCGCTGACTGCACGAGCTTTTTTTCATTCAGTCAGGAAACCATCTCTTGGCTTTTCTTGTGAATTTCTCAAACCCAGGGCATTGTTACAGCATTCCAGTGTCTGTGAGCCTGATGAGATTATAGTGTGCATGTGGACGGGTTTGGGGGCTGGTGTGTGCATGTGAAATGTGCTGGTTATATATAGAAATTGGATGAGAATTTCCACATGGTGGGTGAGGCAGTGTTCCGGGGCTGTGTCTCAGTGCATTAGGTCCTCTGTGTGTGTGTGTGTGTGTGTGTGTGTGTGTGTGTGTGTGTGTTCAGAGGTTCCCGAGGATATGTTGAACATCATGTTCTTGGACACATTAAACATATTAATATTTTCTTTCTTGATACGGAGAGAAGGGAGAGGAAAGCGCTGCGATCTGATAAAAGAGCAACACTGTGTGTTTCGGATGATTCATTCATTTTATTTCTACTTTAACAATTTTGGAAGTGTTCTCTTAGAATGGGCAGTGGGTCAAAAGATGGCATTGCAATGATTTGACTTGGTTGGGTCTCCATTGCACCGGAGAAGAGAGAGGCGGGGGTTATTTATTTATTTTTCTTTAAAACGTAATGCACTTAAGCATCATAATTGAGTACAGCGTACGAGAAAGCTCTGTCACTGACACAAGAACTCCACGGGCTGTGGAATGCTGCTTTCTGCAGGCTTGCAGAATATTGTGAACACATTCCAGGGGCCAGCTGGAAGTTTCTGCATGCCTTCTCCTGCTCTGGGCTTTTTTTAGGGAAGCCTTCTCCTGCTCACTCGAGTTGCCGTGACATTCATGTGCAGATATGCATTGCTCAGGGGGCTGGTTGGGAAGGTTGGGGCTGACTCTTCAGGGTGATGCCAGGTATAGCTAATTTTGATTCTTTTAAACACGATGGGTCCTTGTGGTTGTATTTTCCATTCTTCTCTAGATTAGGGTTGTGCTAAATGAATCCTCGAGATGAGAATTATCAGCAAGCTGATTTCAAATAGCAGCATGACCTAAATCTGCTTAGCATATTTATCAGTTTACTATCAACTTTAACCAGAGAGATGTGTTTAAAAGGAAGAAAAGCAGCATGATGCTGAGAATATTGCCCACTTCTCTTTACTCATTGTGTAAATCTGTTTATGGTCCTTTCTTTGTAGAAGCTTACAATATATCCCACATGCTGTTCCTCTTTCCTTACACCATCCCTGAGGAAGCATTGAGGGCTGAAGTTAGTATTTTCTTCTTACAGAGAGGGGGACTTAAAAGCACTTAATAGAACCGAGTGGATTTTTCAAGGTCAGTCTGGACAGAGCTGGGACTCTGGCTCACAGTGCAGTCGACTCACTCTTTACAAGAGACCAAAATGTACCAGAAGCTCAGTGAATTCTTGGTTAAAGGTAGATTTTTCATGTCTTTGACCAGACAGCCCCTCTCCTCTTTAAGCTCAGTGTGGTTCTTTGCTTTTGCATTCCTTGAATCAAAAGTCAGGCAATAAATATATCAAATCCGGTGTTTTGGGTTTTTTTTTTATCCCACTTCTTATCAGATACTTCTTACAAGATGTCAAGGACTCATTCATTGCTGATTTCCGCACAGTATCCATCCATCCATCCATCTTTTTATCCTTTCATCCTTCCATCTATCCAACAACAGAAATAACAGTAAAAAGGACTTAGTATTGCATGTGGAATCAGTGAGATTCCTTCAGAGACTTGGAAACAAGGGGATCAGATATTTCTTTACAGTCATGTTGGTAAAGTTCTCACATAGTTGATGAAATTGGCTATCTAAGGGAACACCCAGCACTTTTACCTAGGTGATCTTCCTGTAACCTGGGGAGAAATGACTGAAAGTGATGGCAATTTAGTAAGTGGAGACCAATGCATTGTCATTTTCTCCCTGGGGAAAGGCCATGTAAACAGTGGGGGTGGATAACTAGCCTTGAACAATGGAAAAAAAAAAAAAGACTCACGGGTCCCAAAGGTGGTTTAAGAAAGACTCCAGCTCTGGCAGGTACCAAGTATCTCTGCTCTGGTGAGGCGGGGTCTGCAGTAAGGCCAGAAGAATCATCAAGCCTCACCTTGGCTCAGGTGAAACCTCCCTCATGACTCTGCCTCTCTTTGCTCTGAGCCCATCATCCCAAAATAACTGAGTTATTTTGGTGGTGCCTGACTGAGAGATATGATCACTGCAGGCACCAGAAAGGAATATGTTCTACTTTAAATCATTTAGCTGTTGACGGAACCTGATAGTGTGAGTCATCTTCCCTGTGATCATTCAGTTTTGAGCTTGGCAGCCTCACTCCTTGATGGTAGTAGGTTCATTGGGGTTATAGTTCCTCTGTGAGCCTCTTGGTAGAGACTCGGCCAGCTTTCTCCTGGCGGCACGGCAGCTTTGTTATACCTTTGTCTATCCTTGGTAATAGTCATGATTTTTCTGAGTCCCTAGTACTTCAGACTAGTACTGGTACTTTACATACATCCCCTCAATAATGGCCACAAAGTGTTACTTTCCCTGTCTTACAGGGGAGGAAACAAACTTGCGAGGTCAAGTAATTTGCCCAAGAACATAGAGACTATAAGTGAGGGAACCCCAGTTGAACCCTAGGGTATGACTTTCTCCAAAACCAAGCCTTCTCTAGGACACTGTTTCCTTCAAGTGAAATGTTCCATTTTGAATAATTTGTCTAGAGAGATGCCAATTATCGTCTCTTTATTACAAATATATTTTCATGGACTCCAGAAAATTGAGAGCATATGGAGACATTATTGGTTATTAGTAGTTCCTTGAAGTACAAAATATTAAGAAATGTGTCAATAATTAATTATTTCACTAATGTATAAAATCTAAGCTCCTCCCTAAGGAAAATAATATATGTGCTTGGTACAAAGTTAAATGGAAAAGCATTAGAATCAGATTTCATATTTATGAAGACATAATTCTCATTATCAAATAGTCTATGGATACTTATTCTCATGCAATGAGGTATGAATTATTTAGATAGATTTATCGGTCTCTTGTCAAGGCAAATAAATAGAATGCAAGACAATAGTTTTGATGCTTATTTGGCTAATATTCTTGGTAATTGCAATATTTAGGGCTATGAAGTGAGTAATGCCACAAAATGGCATATTGTTACTTTATATATGGACAATAAATAAATTCTACAATGCAATGAAAGACCAAAGTGTGGAATGTTGAAATATCCACTACACCCGAGTGATTAAAAAACCTCCAGATCCTTTGAAGTCCTCACCAAAGGAACCTCAGATTTCTTTTTAGAGGATCTTAGCTATATTTGGTATCTAATATTTGTGATGTAAGAATTTCCAAGAAGTGCTCACATATGGTACCAGTAAGCAATTTTAGTAGCTGAATTATTTTTGCTGATTATAAGAGAAAAGGAATGGACGATCATTGCAAAGGCAAAATTTTAAAGCACAGGAAAATATAAAGAAAAAACATAACAACTATGTACTTGTCAACCAGATGTAACTCACACAGAGGTATATCCTTCTATGCTTTTTCTCCGATATATTTTTGTAGAGTAAGGTATGTGACCCTTGATAACAGGCCTCATGAGCATGTGAGTAAAATAAAATGGTATTAACATTCAGGTCCAAAATACATTAACCTTGACCTCTTTTTGATTTTGGTAGATGGGCTGTTTTAAATCCTCATAAAAACTTTGTCATTTTTATGAAATCACATCTTAAATTCTTTTGCTTTGTCATATCTGACTTTTATATTGTCCTTGCAAAGAACATCTCCACCTCAAACACTTGCCTGTGATGTTTCTTATCCTTCCAATAGTTTTCACCCATCTAGAATTTTTTTTTCCATAGGAAATAAGATAGGAATAACTTTACTTTTTACTGATGGTGAGCCTCAACATGATTTATTGATTAATTCATCCTTGTTCTCACTGACTTAAATGTCTTCTTTATCATAGACATATTTCTCTCTTATGTTCAAGTCTACCCTTTGCGGATTCTTTTAATTCCATGAATCTGCCACCCCTGTGCCAATACCATCTTTATTTAACCCGCCTAGCTTTTTAATATATAATATGTATTAATAATATGTCATAAGGCAAGAGCCGTCATTATTCTTCCTTTGAAGAATTGTCTTGGCTTTTTATTCCATGGGAACAATTATTTATTCTTATTGTTTTTATTGTGTGACTTGCGATAATGTGAGTTTAAAAAATAAATCAACTATTATATTATACCAGACAGACTAAATTTAATATTCCCTTTTGTCTCTTGGTCGAATTACCAGAGATTTGTCTATTTTATTGGTCAGTCCAAGGCCCCAGCAAGAGTAGGCACACAGTATGTATTGCCACATGAATCCCTTTGGAACTGTCACATTTATAAAGGTTTGTATGACAGAGTCAGCACTGTCAGAATCAAATTGCTAATATCATATCTTCAATATATAAGCTGCCTTTGAATTATTTATTTATGAGCAGGGAACCCTGACTAGAGGTTTTTTTTTTCTAATCCAAGCTATGAAAATTGTCATTATATTTTAAAAACTACAGCCTTTTCTTTCAAGAAGATTGAATGAAAAAAAATCAAAGACTAAATTGTGACCCTGCGAGATATTTATTGTAAACCCACCAAGGTCATTTGCTGCATAGCCTGAAGGTACCAGGAGCCTTGCTGCAAAGATGTTATAGTGTCTCTCGCTATTGTGAACCTTTAGCACTAATTTTAGACTTTTCTTGGTTATTAGTGTGTATGACAGTCCAGTTTAAATTTTAAAATCTTGACTAGGCAGGCAGGGCACACAGTGTAAAGGAACTCTACATCGCATCCTTTTTCCCAGTATGTCCCCATCTCCACTGGCCCTACGAACAGATTGAGTACAAGTTAGAACTGGGTTTCCTCTAGGA